ACGGTTGGGTGATTCCTCTTGTTTTTTAAAAAACTCCTTTTTTTTTTTTTTTTTTTTTTTTTAAATATCTTTCAGGAAAAGCTCCGAGATCCTTCTGCCAGCTGGAACTGAATGTGAAACTACCACGTGCTGGAAGGCCCAGGTAGCGCTGGCTCACGTTCAGTCTGGCCCAAGGGCGTTCTCGCTGTTCCCCTACGAGCTGGATCTGCAGCAACCCTCGAACAAGGGGACAGGGAACTTCAGGAGCAGAGCGAGAAGACTGAGAAAGGAAGCAGAACATTTCCAGCCCCAAATCCAGACTGTCAATCTGCATTACCAGTAATAACACAAGAATAATAAATAAACAAGTTTAAGAATTGTACGGAAACTTCAGCATGGCTTTCAGAACTTGCTTGGTTTTGTGAGGGGAAGCTCCTTGTCCTCGCTGTTCCCGTGAAAGCAGGCGGTGCCTAGCAGGAGGAAGATGAGGGACGTGCGCTGAGTTGACCAAACTGGACAATCATCCAGAAGCAGCACTTCACAACCTGCACAGGGAATTCTGGATTGCTGCTGGATAAAAACATTTCCCTCCCAGCTGACAACTCCAGACAAAGATGGCCTCGCTGCCCGACCCACCAGGAACACGTAGGCTAGAACGCCAACGGAGAGAGAACACGTGGACCGGGGACAAGCCTTGCAGAGTCACAGAAAGCAGCTCTCCCTCTGCTCACCATGGGCAGCTGTGTATGCAGACCCACACTTCTCCTTCCACATCTGCTGGAGATATTCCTCTAGTTCAAGTTCACAAGAGACAACTTTTTTTCAGGCACGCTCACGTAACAACCGATGCTGCATTTATCAGCCCTGCTACAGCGAATACTCAAATTGGGCACGAATTCTGAGAAGCACGGCCTTGATTTATTCTGTACAATTAACATCCAAAATACTATTTTGATGAGAAGTGCCGCTTCGGAAGTGATGCTGACTAACATTAAATGGGTGGAATTAAGTGAGTCTTCACAGAGACGGCGACTTCACTGCCCTCCGTGCGCTCACCAGCAAGTCAGAAGCGAAACACCCAGCACGTCCCCTCTGCGACTGAGCAAAAACTACGCTGCCTATTTGCTGTTCCTCCGGGCACATCTCACCAGTGCGAGCTTGATAATCTTTTGGCACTTCCCCCCACCTCACTTCAAGTCTCTTTTTATAGTCCCAGATGACTAACTTTACCCCTGACCTGGGCTATTTTCATAACAACCTATTGTGAATCATCTCCGATTATTTTAGCTACTGCTGTGAAGTTCACTGGAAGCACAACTTCCAGTTTCTTCTCAGATTTACCCCAGTGTGGCACTGAAAAATAAAACCAAGCAGTTGGCAGTGGTTGTATTCCCCAGAAACTCCGCGGCAACGCCTGAGCTGCCCGGAGCGGCCAGCGATGGCCAGGGGCACGGGGAAGGCACCGTGACATCAGCCCAGCGTAAAGCGACCTGGGCCAGGTCCCCGAGAGCCCGGTCAAGGTCGAGACGAGCGCATTGGCGGGCGTGCTGCAGGCCAGGAGGGGAGGGCGGGCGGCAATCCAAGCATTTGCGCTTATCTCAGTCAACACAAGGTTGTGCCTGGTATAACGAGCGATGCCACAGCCTGCAGACGAGCGCATTGGCGGGCGTGCTGCAGGCCAGGAGGGGAGGGCGGGCGGCAATCCAAGCATTTGCGCTTATCTCAGTCAACACAAGGTTGTGCCTGGTATAACGAGCGATGCCACAGCCTGAACGTGAGCCCAGGTAACCACGGAATCCCAGCATGGCAGGGACCTCTGGGGTCACCCAGCCCAGCCCCCTGCCCAAGCAGGGTCACCCAGAGCAGGGGGCACAGCACCGCGGCCAGGCGGGGCTGGA